AATCCTGCGGTGCTCGAAATTCTATTCAAACTCAGCTTGTTGATTAAGTTTACCAGAATTTTCTGTAAAAATAAGAACAAACTAATTTCTGTGTTATTTAGACACACAACGTAAGGTAAGCTTCTGTATTAAATATTTATATCTCAGAAGATTTAAAAACACACAAAAAGGAGAAAAGCTACCTTACACAAACCAAATGGTATTGATATTAATTAATATATAAAAGATTTGAGCTAATAAGGATCTTCAAGCAAACTTATTTAGCTATATGAAATGTATTCACTCTATTATGTTTGAAAATATGAAGTACAAGTAGTCGAATTTTCCCACCATGATATGAGTAGAGCTGACGCTTCCATTGAATTCCCCGTTGCCTTGCTTACCCAAAAGGTAATATCATCCAGGCTGAAGTGGAATGCAATACGAGATGTATTCGCACTATTTGGCTTAAGGTGATGAAGGACTGATAGAAGAATTTTTCCACAATGATATGAGTAGAGAGGACGTTTCCATTCAATTTCACATAGCCTTGCTTTCCCAACAGTTGTTCTCATCCCGACTGGGGTGGACTGCAGTTTCGACGTCGCCTCGGGCTTATTTACACCCCCAGTAGGATTCGAACAGTGACAGCGCAGAATGTGAGCTTGACACGTTAACCACTCGGCCACATTGCCACAAATGCCCTTGGATCACAGGGCGGATGTAAATTTCGAGAAAATCCAGGTGTTTTCCTATATCACATTCTTTGGTGGGTTTGTCGATGAAGCAAAGTTATATTTGCTATGGCAATCGACTACATCTCATATAACTGATTAACTGATAATCTCTAAACCCCACTTATAAATGAAAAATAAGTAATGTACTCGATTGTCGTAGCAAATATAACTTTGGTTCCTCAAAACTCCCACTGAGGATATAATATGGTAAATTACCTAGCCTTCCTTGAAATTCACATCTGACTTCTGACCCAAGGGCACGCGTGGCAATTTGGCATAGTGGTTTTCGTGTCGATATTACAGATAGCAATGTCATGGTTCGAGTCCCGCTGGAGGTGCTGATAAGACCTAAGAGAGGTTGAAATCGTAGTTCACCCCATATCCTTGTGGAAAACTTCATCACCATGAACGAAATAAGGTGAATACATTTCATATAACTCATTTATTGGTAGTCTTGAAAGCCTATTTCTGAACGAAAAATTATTTATTATTCGTCTATCTATACTATACTATTATTACTATCAATATAATATTTGCAAAATAATATAGCAGTCAATTTTAATTGTTGTCCGCAAAATGTATAATATGATAATATACCAAGGTAAGTATCTTGTTGCCACAGTTTCAAGTTCAATCGGAGCCAACTACCGTATTATGATAGAGATACAATAAACTGTTTATTTTACAATTAAATAAAAATATGGCAAACTGGGCCTCGCTTCCATTTAATAGAAAATCTTAGCTAAGATATGCCGAAAGCCCTGTAAATTCAGAAGTTTGAAATTAAAGCACTTAAAATATCTAAGCTCTTTTACTTCTTTATTTGTGGCTAATAGAATAAAGCTGACGGAAAGCACCCGATTAATGTTGAAGGGCTTGATCATCCAGACGACTGCGCTCGCCTTATCAGCTCATTGACGCGGGAGGTTGAAAAGCTGCAGAGTACAAAAATGGAAAATCTTGCAGCGATCGCAAACACAGCAATCCCTACGGAAAAGCAAGATGAATTTAGTCCGCAAAAAGATGAGAATGATATACCGTTGCCAAAAGAGGATATGTTGGTACTTGAGGAGACCAATAGACAGGTTAGTGTTTATCTCTCGGTTTAGGCATTTAATTGTATTATAAGTATGATTAACACTTTGACCAAACCTAAGACAAAAAACCATGTCAATTTCTATTTCATGTAATTCCTACAACTTACAGTGTTTTCTTCGTTAACGTGATGTCGGCAGTTGCCCCATTTAAGATAAGATCAGAAATATTTTATTTTATTAGGCCGATTACTTCAGAAAATGATATGCCGATTTAAAATAAAAAGTCCTATTACAGTATGGGAACCATCTACGATTCTAAGAGAAAGCTCTTATCCAGCTTTTTTAGGAAAAACATATAAAGTTTCCATATGTTCTCATAGTTTCAGCCAATACTGTATTTGTTGCCAACATTACTTGTCACTTCGAACCCCAATTCTACTAAAGTTGCCTTTTTACTGCAGATCATGATGAATCTGTTTCAATTTCTGTGTGTAACAGCTCCTTTGACATTGTATCTGAACTATCTCAAAAATATTTTGCAAACCAAACTATACCCTATCTCTTTATTATATGCTTAAAATATTTGCCATACTAGCCTGTGTTTATGGCTAAAATAGCCATTTTAAAATAAGAGGCGAAATATTATGGATTACTTTATCCTAATGTGATATGGTATTTATATTTAGGCAAATCTGGAAAGTAAAATAAATCTTAATTCTTAGTTTAAGTATTTTAATTAGCCCTAAAACGTAATAATAATGATGTTATGATATTTATTATTTAGTTGATTTCTCACTCAAGCTATAGGTGCATCTCAGATCAGATTAGCATTATCTCACTAGTTGTACTACTTGTAGATTGTTTTGTGTAATTTTTTGCCCCTCTTTTGGCGAGTCATCTACCAATTACTTCTGACAGCTTCCAAAACTTCAACTTCAAAATCTTTTGATCGCCTTACATTTTTCAGTTAACCAAAAAGCTGGAAGAAAAGAACGCAGAAATTAAGGAGCTAAAAGATCAAATAAAAATGTTCAAGGAGAAGGAAGAAGCAAATAAAATTAATCCTGCCACAGAATTCGAGCTCCGAAAACAGATTGCTTCTTTGACTGAAACAAATGAAAAATTGACCGAAAACTATCAGTCTGAAGTAGTGTTGCGCAAAAAGTACTATAATATGATGGAGGATATGAAGGGGAAGATTCGTGTCTACTGCAGAGTCAGGCCTATATCTTCTAGTGAGATAGAGAAAAACTGTCGCATAGCAGTTTCTTTTCCGGATATCTACACCTTGCAGATAGACAGTGGGAAAGCCATCAAGGAGTATCAGTTCGATCGCGTCTTCGACCAAAGCTCCTCTCAGTCTGATGTATTTGAGGATACAGCCATGTTGATTCAGTCGGCAGTGGATGGTTTCAACGTTTGCGTGTTTGCCTATGGCCAGACAGGCAGTGGTAAAACACATACACTGATAGGCAGCGAAAGTAATCCTGGGTTAGCCCCACGCTGCTTTTCACAGCTTTTTACTGTCATCAACGACAAGGCTTTCCTGTAAGTTTTTGGCACCGGACATTGCCATCTAATTTTGCCCATTGCAAGCTAGTTTAGCAACATTCTATTTGTTTTAACTGCATGGAGTCTATCACACATTTTTAGATTTTAATCTGCTTATTGATATTTACTAGATTTTTTAATTAGCCTGTAGAATAGGCGCTATTGGAATTTACTTCTTAGTAAATAATTGAATTTACAAATACTTCCTCTAAATGTATTGGCCTGATACCCATGATCTGACATTAGTATCAGTGTACTTGACGAAATGCACTGTAATATGAGACAAAATATACTATAGAAATGCTAACCTGGTTTAATGCTTATGATTAGTTGTATTGATAAGTTAAAGCCATTTAGGAATATGTAGGATCAAAGTCCTAAAAGGTTTTATAGACTTAATGCTAAATTATTGTTAGTTATCAATAAGATAAATTTCTAAGCTGAAAAATGTTATATGGTTATTACTAATTTCCATTAATGATTTTCATGTTAGATAGAAAGGCAATAAAATCATAGGTTGTGCTATATACTTTTGAAAGAAATCTTTCCAAAGTTAGTCTTTTCTCTTGAATTTATCCTTGAAATAAATCAGAACCATGCTTTATTTACAAGGCAAATAAAGAATATAAAATAATGAAAAATAATATTGCAATAACTATGACGGCATATCCATAATTGCTTATGTAATAAAACTCTGCTGTTGCCAATTCTCATTGGTTAATTGGTGAATGTAATTAAGAAAGTCAGAGTCTGCACTAGAATCAAATAAAATATGGAATTGATTAGCATAGATATAATCGAAGAGTACACTTAGAAATATCACAACCATG